GTCGATGAACCAATAGATCGAAATGAAATACGTGAAAAAGTACTTGCTCATCTCATTTCAATGACTGTACAACTCAAATATCTTCGTGTTGAACAATTCGAATGGCTCTTACATGTTGTTCAATACGTAAGTTTTTTCTTATTTTTAATCTTTTTATATAATCGATTTGAATATATTTGGGTGAAGCAATTTGACAGTTAAATCTCGCATCATTTAAAGAAAAGTGATATTTTTTAAAGTAGTACTTTTGAGAAGGTACAAGTCTTAGACTAATTACATAGTACATGTATATTGAAAAGTTATATGATCTGCTTTTTTTTGTATGAATAAACTGTTCCATTATTTCCAAGTTTAGAACTTTTTATTGAACTTTATCTAATTTGTGATCTGGAGATTTATTTTTATTTCCTCTTGGAAAATACTTAAGAGCACTTTGACTTGGACCAATTCGAAATTAGTGTTGAGCCTAGAGATTCATGTTATCGCAGTTTAAAGCTTCAAATCATAATAGTGACTGGAGTTCAGTCATCACTCGCTACGATTTTTATCAAACGATAAACAATTATGGATTGATCTTTTATTTTATTTTTTGCAAATACATCACTTTTTTCAACAAATTTTCATGTCAAATTATCAATAAATGAAAATTTAACCGAAGAGGCATATATTTAAAGTTTTCGATCTCTTTGATCTTTGTCAAATGCCTATCTGTCTTTGTTTATCTTTTGACAGTCACCGATGTTGTTTTCTTTAGGGCTAATTTTATGATCTTCATGACATATTAGATTTATAGAATATCATGTTCTCGTTATCGATACATACATATATTACAGAAGAGGATTCTATCGAGTCTTTATTGAATCTGAATAAACGATAAATATTAATTTCCTATTGAGAATGAAATCTTTTGAAACATTTGGTAAGTAGAGATCTGTTTTAGCCTTCAAATGATGTTGTTTGTCTTTAAAAAATATATTATTTAATCGATTATTTCCGATTAACATTTGATAAAAAACGCCAAGCCAAATTGAAATTCAATCTAAAATTTTGACAACTATTTTTTTCTAGTCTTCATCTCTTATTGTTGATAACTTTTAAGTAAAGTGTATCATTGTAAATTAAAAGTCTTTTAATCGAACTCACATTAGTTGAATAGTTTTATTCTTGACATGAAATTCACATTATTGTTTTCTCAGATTCACCAAAATCCTTGACATGAGAGTTAAGTTAGGTTTGTTTCAAGTAAAATTTTTTTCTACACGAAATTATTTGTTAGGATTTGAAAATGAAGGACGAACAAATGGAATCGTTTTATGTTTCGAAGAAAAAAAGAATAAATAACAACAATTAACTCTAATTTATCGATAGAAAATAAAGAAAATACTAATGTAAATCCAAGATAAAGATAAATAAAGATTTGAAAGCACTTATAAAGACGAGATGTAAAATGAACTGAATAGTCAATGTGACTGAAACTAGCTAGTTGAAGAGAACCCATAAAATATTTGCTTGATATTAGAATAATATCATTAATCCAGTACTATGTAATCACTTTTGAGAATTAGAAAGGAAAGGCAAGATTATAGACGAGATAACACGAAAAACTATTTAACGATTATTATGTTATGTAGATCGTAGTTAAAATGTCTTTTCCAATCATTTTAATAGAATTAATTTGGTTTGATCAATCAATTCTTCAAGATTATTATGATTTACTTCTTTTGATATTCCTCTTCTATTTAGGCATCTAATGAATTAAGAACGAATGCATTAAATAGTGTTCGATATGCTGAATTTTGTCTTCCGAGCTGCCACTATGGTTTCAACAAAGCAAATCATATTGGCAAATGTCTTGTGCCTTTTCTTAGCACATATATGCCTCATTTACAAACTTTACGCCTTTGGCGGCCAGATGATTTTCCTTGGACATCTAGTAAGTTCATTTTACGCAAACAAAACTAATTACAATTAAATCCCTTGTTAATCTATGATGAATATTATTCTCAGTTTGGTGTTTTTAAAATTGCCTATTTATTTTGTACTCTATTAATCATAGATATTCTTATAATGATGTATAGTTCAAGTTAAATGAGAAAAACTATTCTTGTATCAATTCTATTCACGTCTTCTCTTGTTACATTACAAGATTTATAATTATGTAAGATAGACTTGATATTTGATAAGTAAGATCAAATGTTTGCAAAGTTTTGATTTTATTTTCGAAATCTTTAAATTGCAAATAACAATTATAGTTTTTGATCGAATTCATTTTTGTGTACTCAAAAAGTGAGTACACTCTAGAATCGATCAGTGTATCCGTCCGTTTACACGATAACTTTTGAAAGAAGAGTCCAATCGCGATGAAATTTTCTACACAGTTTAGCCTTAACAATATCTCGGTCGAGAGAAGAAGATAAGAATGATTGGCAGAGCCATTGCTGAGTTATTGCAAAAATAGTCATTTTTCCCTATGCTTCCCTATGAGAAGATAGACTCTTCTCTGTTTTCGTAAAAAACTTTTCCTATCATAGTCAAATAAAACCCCCAACTATTATATACCATTCGATAGAGAATTTCACGAGCTACAAAATGGTATATAAAACATAAGGAAACAAGAAAGCTAACTCACCTATTGCAAAGATAATTAAACGGAATTCGGTTCTATGTTTGTCCACGCTCTAATTGACTCATAAATAGAGCTCTATCTTTCGATCACAGAGATGATAGTTCGAGGTTTTCTGGGGTGGAGAACTCGAATCTATGTTCAATTCGCCTCGAAATTCGATTGGTTGAGCAGTGACCAATAGAAATGAAGTTATAGGAAAAACGAGTTTCTTAGGGTAAATCAAGGTGAAGAGTTCAAATCTGGGCTGTATCTGTCTCCAAATTCTATTGGTTGAGCAGTAACCAAAAGAAATCAAGTGTTTATAGAAAAGGTTTGCTAGAACAATTTTGATGTCCACACATTCTAGGATGACTCATCTGTCTCATTCACTTTTTGAAGTACAGATAACTCTCGGATTTAAATCCGAGGTTTCCGCATTTATTTCTTTTTCTAATTTAAATTAATGAAAGATATTGTGTCTTATTCATTATTATTGATTAATGATGAAAATATTGAACAATGAATTATGTTCAAGAAAGGCAAAATAATTTGAATTGTGGAGACAAATACACTTATCGACCGCCTCTCTTCTTTTGATCTAATTCGACAAATTAGCTTCTGGGAAGTTCATTAAAAGTATTACTAAGGGTTCCCAAGTGTTCACAGATCAATAGTTTAAGAGATAACGCGCATTTGTGCTACTTAATACAAGCCTCACAAACCATCTCAATAGCTGAGGGTGAAGACAAAATCTTCATACAGTCATCAAAGGGCATCTCAATAGCTGAGGGGTCAACGAAATTTTTATTCACATTCAAAGAGCATCTGCTATGAAGACACTGGTTCAATGTGGATCAAGTTTTCGTTGCACCCTCAGCTACTGAGATGCCCTTTAATGACTGTATGAAGATTTTATCTTCACCCTCAGCTATTGAGATGGTTTGTGAGGCTTGTATTAAGCAGCACAAATGCACGTTATCTGTTAAACTATTGGTCTGGGAACACTTGGAAACCCTTAGTAATACTTTTAATGAACTTCCCAGAAGCTAATTAATCGGATTAAATCAATAGAGGAGGGTGAGGGGTCGATAAGTGTATTTGCCCCTGAACTGTGAAATTTTCTATCGAAAAATGTTTCTCTATTTTATTTATTTAACTATCTTTAATATTAATTTTAAGTTTGGAAAGAAATAATATTGACAAAAATATACTTGTTTTAAATCGTATTTGAAACTATTGTTTACTCATCTGCCATGAAATCTTCAATTTTGTAAAATAGATCCTACTTCAACATTAAGCCAGAATCCATATGAATTTGAGATCATGAGTTATTCTATATGATTGAAATACGGTTTTACCGTTGTGTAAGTTCACACTGTTTCGCTACTAAATACCAGACGACGTTGTTATGCGTTTTTCTATACAAAAGAAAAATAGAAAAATTAATCAAAGTTTCATTTTAAAGTATCAATCAAATTCTTAATGTTTTCAAAATGATCTGATTAAAAAGTAAATTGATTAGGAAAAAATAACGAGAAGGAAAGTCTCATCTGCAGCATAGTTTTCGCCTGCTGAATTGAACAAAAATATCAAACGATTATTTTCTATAAAAAGAAATGCAAGTAAAAAAAGATTGAAATGATCTATTTTTTTTCTATAAGGGAACAGAAAAGTATTTTCTTTTGAAACTCTCATGTGTTTTACGGATTAACATTGTTTCGTTGTCTTTTTCTTCATTTAAGTTCGACCAGATAATGGAATAAGGCGTACCAATGTGATTCTACTTCAACGATGGCTCAGGTCTCTAAAAACACCCAAATCGATTGGTATGTATACAGTGGCTACCAAAATTATTCGGTCAGTAGGAAGAATGTTTTTGTTTTGTTTATATATCAAAAGTTACATGAGCTAGGATAGTCGGATTTTCATCATGACATAAGTCGTAGTGTCTAGTATATTTATGCAAATTTTCGGGTGAATCCATACACTTGTTCAGTTTTTATTGGTGACACAATCATAAGATGCTGTTTTTGATCCTTCCAAAATTATTCGGCCACTTGTTTTTCTGCGATTCCTATCTGCGCATTCTAATATATCATTTTTTTGCATGACACATCATTCGAGAGAGCAAATTGTTCTATCAATGATGAGCTACTTTTTATTGAATTGATGTAAAGAAAAAGCTCGAAAACGAGAGGTTTGGGGGCTGTTCCAGATGTTTAAGACTGAAAAGCTGTAGATCAGCATTTTTTACAGTACTGTTAAAGAATCGCTGATAGGCCTAACGAGGACCGAGGTTCAAGTTCAATGAAATGTAGAAGAAACTTTTACGTGCCATGGATTAATTGATACCGTATGAAGTTCCGAGCAAGGCGCTACAGTTAATTTCAGTTTATAATTATCGATTCGACAAAATTCGGACTAAAGTTTTTGTTGGACCTATCGATGAGCTTTTCTACTATTGTTCTCGAAAGAAGCAGTTTCAATTCGTAAGAGTCGAACTATTTTAGTTCTCAAATATTAGATTTTTGTAGAGGAAACAATTTTCTATAAATCTAGACGATTTTCAAAACATTTACATGACTCTTGATGCGCAAATAGAAACAAAACACGGAGAGCTATGGCTCATCAACTATATGGATTAGAACTAGTCAAGCCATTTTTGTGCCGCATAGTATTCATTTAAATAGCATATCTAATGTAGTTTTCGATGCTCTTTCTAATGATGTATCATGCGTTGGAATTCATTGAATATTGGTAGAAAAAAATGCTGATCTACAGCTTTTCAGTCTTAAACATCTGGAACAGCCCCCAAACCTCTCGTTTTCGAGCTTTTTCTTTACATCAATTCAATAAAAAGTAGCTCATCATTGACAGAACAATTTGCTCTCTCGAATGATGTAGCACGCAAAAAAATTTTATATTAGAATGCGCAGATAGGAATCGCAGAAAAACAAGTGGCCGAATAATTTTGGAAGGATCAAAAACAGCATCTTATGATTGTGTTGCCAATAAAAACTGAACAAATGTATGGACTCACTCGAAAATTTGCATAAATATACTAGAGACTACGACTTATGTCATGATGAAAACCCGACTATCCTAGCTCATGTAACTTTTGATATATAAACAAAACAAAAACATTCTTCCTACTGGCCGAATAATTTTGGTAGCCATTGTACATAAACAATTATTTTATACGTGAAAATAAATGAATAATATAATTCTCTTATTTTAGTTCAACATGTAGTCGTCTTTGAACAAGATCTTTATCAGTTGGTCAAAAAATTAAAAGAATTTATCTTTCTCGATATTTACGGCGAAATTCATTATGAAAAAGTTGAACCTTATCGTTTAATGGTTCAAGCTTCCTTTCCTAATAGTCGAATAGATATTGGAATATCAAGATTTCGTCTTTGGCTTTAAGTTTGTGTTTGTTATATACAACAGATATGTGGTAAAAATAATTCTCATAGTTGACTACTGGTTTTTTTCTGTTTGTTTTTCTTGAATGTTATCAACTGTATATGCTGGTATTCACTAATAAAATGTTGATATGGCCCTTGAAACAATACAATATTTTGTTGTTTTCGGGAGAGTTCTAATGGCATAATCAGTGCGAACTAGAAGGAACTCAGTTTTCCCTATAGATGTCTGAGCCCTTCTAGAAAGTTTTGAAATTTCTGTAGGTATAAATGTAAGTAGTCAACAGGAAGCTTAAAAGGAATTGAACCCTACTTGATCTAGTAAATTTTTCCCATAATGCTGCTAGAGAATTAGTCACAAACAATACGAGATGAATTTAAGATCTATTTGTTTTTCATATATGTTTAGATTTTTCTAATTTTGAGCTAATGGCGTAGTCAGGAAGGGAATGGTTTTGCTGCACCGAATCACCGGAACTGTTAGTCCAAGCAGCGGCTGTTTGAAAAAAAAACAATTATTTTTTTTAGAACAATAGAAGCAAGAAACTACTAGACATTTACATTGCCTCCTTTTCTTCGTATTAGACACCAAGTAACGTTCATCGACATTGAAGATCGATGCACTGGGCCCTAGACTGACGGAATGATGACCAGTAGATGGTTGTATTGGGAGTGTGGGTGTGGCTAGGGTGGATGTGGGTGTGGGGTGTGGCTAGGGTGGATGTGGGTGTGGGGTGGGGTTTGGGTGTGGATGTGGATGTGAGTGTGGGTGTGGGTAGGTATCATTTAAGAGATGTCTTATACCACAACCATACCCACACCCGCATTCAAATCCATATCCTTACCCAAACCACGCCCACCCCACATGCCATACCCACATCTTATACCCAACGCACCCACGCACCGACACCCTAATCTACCCACAGCCACAGCCACACTCGACCTCAGATTCGGATTCTTCGCTCCCGAAAACCTATAGGAAAGTTTGATTAGAACGGCTGAAAACCCAATGAGCAGAAAAGCTCGTTTCTGCTTGGTCGTTTCTCAACCAGCCAAAGCTCAGATCAAAAATTCGATCTCAGATTCGGACTTGTCACCTCCGAAAACCTATAGCAAACTTTCATCAGAATGGGCGAAAATTCGATGAATAGAAAAGCTCGCTTCTGATTGGTCCGTTTCCCAACCACTGAAAGCTCAAATCACAAATTCGACTTCGGAATCAGACTCCTCGCCCTCGAATACCTGTAGAAAATTTTCATCAGAAGGGGAAAAACCTTAAAATAGAAAAGCTCGTTTCTGATTGGCTTGGACAGACAAACATACATACAGTTTTAAAATATAAGACCCTTTCTTTCAGACAAGGGAATTATCAAGAATCGAGTTCCGTCTGATGTCCAACTGGATTGTCACCAAGTAGTTTCAAACTTTCTTTCGTTGTCATTTATTGCGTAGTTAACTTGCATCTATTTTACATTATTGTAATTTATAAAATCAAAATGAAAGTAACTGCCATTCCTACTCATCACTCCTCCTCTTTGCAATTTTACTGTAATGTTTTCGC